AGAGAGAGAGAGAGAGAGAGAGAGAGAGAGAGAGAGAGACCTTGTGTGTGTGTGCATGTGTACATGTGTGTGGGTGTGTCAGCGTGTGAAAGACTTTGTGTGTGTGCATGTGTACGTGTGTTGATGTGTGTGTATCAGAGAGAGAGAGAGAGAGAGAGAGAGAGAGAGAGAGAGAGAGAGAGAGAGAGAGCATGTGGATGTGTGTATGGCGCGTGTGTGTGTGTCATGACGCATAGCACGTTAGTGCTAAGAATCCCACAGCAAGCTGCGGTACAACCGTTCAGACGATAGGCTAATGCATGCATCCGCACTTATGTTCTTTATTGTGGGGAGTAGCGATAGAAGGAGCTTGGCATAGGCGAGCAAGACCATTCCCTAAGCACCAGGGGAAACACCAGCAAAATGGAGAAGACGGAAGGCAACATATAGGCTGGAGGGGACGGGGGAGGCGCGAGGGCAGACAACACACAAACATACAAGGCAATGAAAGGAAAGGCAGACAAAGAGAATGGCAGAGGAAAAGGCATGAGGCAGCAAGGTATAAGAAGACGAGCAGCAGCTAAGGACAAAGGCAGGAGGGCACGAGGGGAGGGGGGGAGGAGGGGAGGAGGGAGGGCATCCTCGCAAGCACGCCAGTCAGACGACACAGAAGACACACGAAAGGCCATGAGGGAATAAGGCATAGGACAGCAAACAGCATGAAAGGGATGGGGTGACAAGGCGTGGAATGGCAAACAGCAGGGAAGGACAAAGGCAGGAGGGCATGGGGGAACTGGAGGGGCAGACGACACACAAGCACACCAGGCAGATGACACACAAGCATACCAAACAGACCAAGGAGATGAGATACAAGCACACCAAACTAACAAACCAGAAAAGAATAACAGACCAAGGAGTGCAAAAAAAAATTCAAGAACTGAAAAAACTAAAAACTGATGATAACAAGATTGTTTTGTCGTAGGGGCACCGACTTATCAGGAGGCTGAACCCTCGACAATCTGTGGAATCTCCGTATTGATGGTTTGGGGATAATTGGTGGAAGCGCCCCCACGGAAGCCTTTTTGGTTTTGCGTGCCCGAACTTCTCCCATTTGGCAAGAACGGCCTACGGGCAAATGAATCTGGTCCGAACACAGCCCCAGGTTCATGATACGGTAGGAAGGGCCAAGCTGTCCGGAGCTTATCTCGGTCTGCCCTTTTTCCCAAACGGGAAAAGTTTGGGCGCCGAAAACCAAAAAGGCGGGGGGGCGCTTTCCACCAACTATCCGGATGGTTGGGGTCATGAAGCCTTTGACCCTACTTGAAGGCAGACTGTCCACAAGCGGAGCACAGCAACAGGGCAACAACTCAGCGAAGCACCATGCATTGCTGCCGGAGCAACCCGACTGCACAACGCCAAAAACGACTGCAAGGAACAGCACGGCAAGCAAACGAGCAGCAGGGCAACAGCAAGGCGAAGCACAAGGCAGAACCAACACAGCACCCACATTACATGGCAGTGATGGCACACAAGCAAGGAACATGGAAGGCATGGCACGCGGACGAGCAGCAGGGCAACAACACGGTGATGTACAAGGCAGCACCGACACAGCAGCCACGCTACATGGCACACAAGCAAAGAACACGGAAGGCATGGCACACGGATGGGCAGCAAGGCAGCAGCACAGCGAAGCACAGGGCACCACTCACACCACAACCACACAACACTAACACCGCAACCACACTACACAGTGAACACAACTTGCAAAGAACTACATGCAACACAAGCAGGACAGGCAGCAAGGCAGCGGCAGAGTGCAGACAAGGCAGTCGACACATCCAACACAGAGCAAAGCGGCACATCACCTACGCGCATCACTATTGAACCCCGCCGACTGCTGGTTTCCACCACCTGTGCAGCCAGGGAAGTACTCCAACGGGCGTCTATCATCCACCCACAGACCATATGCATCACAGAGAGAGCCCCCCCCCCCCCACTAAGAGTGCTGCAGGCACTCGAAACCACTGGCCACCGACTGTTTGGCACATCTAGACACATTATGAAAAATCAAGAAAGAGAAAAAATCATGGCTATGCCGGACCCGGACTCATTTCCGGACATGGAACCGGACCCGTGTCAGGTAGTTTCCGGACGTCCTGAATTCCGGACCTCTGGACATGGAGATCCGGACAGTCCGGACGTCCGGACCAGTGGGGGGAAAAAAAAAATCTGAAAAAAAAAAATGTTATGCAGAATAACAATGCAAACCACTTTTGCCTCAGAGTCATGTCAGAATTCCTAACCAAACTCGAGTTAAAAGTCAAAAACTATAAGACTTAAAAAACTAATAGAAGGTAATGAATTATTAATAATTAAAGAGAGAGAGCATGTTCGGACCCCCCAAAAAAGCATAAATGGGCCTGAAAACCCCCAAAACAATTTTGGGGGCTTGGCTCCTCAATGGGGGAGGGTCCTGGACCGTTTTTTTTTTTTCCCCCCCTCGAAATTTGGCAGATCCAGACCTTCCAGACCGGATGTCTGGAGTCCAGACTGAATCCAGACCGTTTGGACGGCGGTCCGGACGTCCGGATCGTAGCCATGGAAAAAATAAAAAGGAGGAAATACTTCAAATACATACACACATAAGAATGATTGTGTGTGTGTGTGTGTGTGTGTGTGTGTGTGTGTGAGAGAGAGAGAGAGAGAGAGAGAGAGAGAGAGAGAGAGAGAGAGAGAGAGAGAGAGAGAGATTACGGTTCCAGGAGATTTAATTACTTCCTTTGATAGCTCATGACAAGGGAGGAATTGTTCACACTTCAAATTGCAACCCCAAAGGACGGAAAGAAATAAAATATCTTATACGAGTTATCTTACGGCGCATACGTGAGGTGCGCTACGCGGTGCGCTCTGATCGCAGATGCTCGAAGAGAAAAAAAACAAAAAAAAAAGCAAGCAACAATGATGCGTGTATACAGTACTATACACGTTGGAGAGAGAGAGAGAGAGAGAGAGAGAGAGAGAGAGAGAGAGAGAGAGCAAAGAGCCAAGAGCCCTTTCACATTACTCAGAAAACCCCTGCCCATACTTCAAAAGGTTCCTGCCAAAAATTTAACAAGGACCTTGTCAGCAGGAGCAGAATAGTCGCTGGGCTTGTAATAAGGAGGGAGCAGGCCAGGTATATATGGTGTAGCTGCTTCGAATTCAGGTCCGTGTTTCAGCAGTTATGGGTTACTGACTTACTAACTCGGCATGTGATTTTCAGGGCTTCACTCCACTACTCACCAAATGTGCAAAAATATAGTAGAATGAATCTTCTCCTAGAAACTGGAACCATACAAGCCAAATGTTTTTCTTTTGATCAAGTGCTGATGAGTGGAGCGAGGCCCATAGGGCCACTGCACGTAAGAAAAGGAGAAAGAAAGAAACGAAACAGCTACTGTCACTGTAGTGTTTGGAGTAAGTTTGTAACCCATAACTCTTGGAACACAGACCTGAATCCAAATCCAGAATATATTGCTGCCCTGCTCGTGCTCAGTTCCAGCAGTTCAATAAACGTTTTTCCAAATGAATGGGATCCCCGCTCATTCTTTGGAGGGGACCCTTTGGAAAAGTAACTAAATCCATTGAGGGGTACGATGTGGACCCAGTTTTTGTTTTTGTTTTTGTTTCTGTGCAGGTACAATTTTCAAAAGGGAGGCACATGTCCGGTTACCACAGCCTGCTCTTTTGAACTTTAATTAGAATTGAGCCTTTTTAAGAAAACTTTTAATTTTTTTTTCTGGAAAACAACTGGGCCGGTGACTGCTGCTCAGTTCAGAATTCGCAGAATAACAGTCCACTGCAAGATTGGGCGAAAAACAGTAAACGACGTGTTCGGCGGCCTACCGCTTCGATAATTGGCAAAAATGGGAGGTGGCCTGGGCTAGTGGTACCGTGTGGCCTGTTGAAGTTCGACAAAAGTCGTCGGAACAGGCCACAATATGCAACACACCAAGACTGATCACCGACTGTTGACAGAGTAAGAAGAAGAAGAAGAGGAGGAGGAGGAGGAGGAGGAGGAGGAAGAAGAAGAAGAAGAAGAAGAAGAAGAAGAAGAAGAAGAAGCAGGCAGAGAGGAGGAATAGGAGAAGACAATACGACAGTTGAAAAACAATCCCCGAACGTGACTTTTAATAAAAATATAACTTGAGGCGCACGGCGGGATGACCTGACTAGTTTCGATTGCTCCGCCCAGCAGTCCTCCTCAGGGGTCTTGAAAGAGTCGACACAGGTAATTATCGATCGGAACTGTCGTAGTTATATAGGCAGAGTTAATCTAGGTAAGGGCAGGAGACCCAAAGGTCAAATTACCAATGTCAGTTCTATGACTACCTCTGCCGAACAACACTGTATCGATTCCTGCAAACTACAACCACCCCTCAGTCCGTCAACATCCGAGGTCCAAAAACAAGAAAGAAAAAACAAGAAAACAGCCACGTTTCGAACCTTCGACCACTCCCAGCAACTAGCAGCGCAAAGTCCTAGCTGAAACATACCAACTACGAAAACGACAAAAAAGGTTTTTGAAAAAAGTTCAAAAAGTACTAAATAGCAAAAAAGTCGGAAAAACACACGGTTCACTTTACCAAACGACACGTTCAACGGAGATCGTAGGCTTATCATAGTATCACCACTGCGCCAAGTTATCACAGACCGGGGCCGAGACTAGGTAGCGTTCATACGAAGCGCATCCTTCAGTCGAAGCTTTGTCAAAAAGATTTAACAGGTACCGGGTTCGACTCCACAATTTTATCAAGGTGGTTACGGAATCACAGTTGCCAGGTTCTACTCTAACTAAGGTCCCGTAGATAGTACCGTGCCATTATTACGAAATCACAGTTGTTGGGTTCTACTCTGAAAAATGGGGGTTCCCGTAGAAGCAAGCCCCCATGACCTGCGCGATTACAGCCTCTTCCGAAACCACCTCTCCCAACTAGTCAGTACAGGTAACCACTGTTTCCAACATCCACCAAATTTATCGGAAAAATGAGCCCCTGCGGAGTCAAAATAGTGATCGGGAAACCCACTCTACCACAACTCTCGCTTTCAAAGAGAGGAGAAAAGCCAAGTCAATGCCAGGAACAGAAGTAAATGACCGTCCGCGGTGTAAAAAAGATATAATAACTGCCATCTTCTGCTTCTTACCGGAATAGGATACAAAATTCTGAATGCTTTGGTAGACTAGTCCGTCGCTTCTTTGATTTCTCTGAGTGGCAAAGCATGCAACCTGACCAGAAGTGCAAATCTGTATAATGCAACCCATAAAATCCCGAACATTACCCTCACCAGTCCGCTCAACGGTAAGATTTCGGTCATAACATCCTTCAAAAGACTGCAGTATGGAAAAGCCCCTCAGACGGAACTGCTCATCACTACGTGGATAACTAACATAGATGGAGACGTTGTCAACAATTTGGAATCCAAGCACCAGTTTCCGATCCTCACCCAACGAGCTGAAGAACAGAAATTTGGAGAAAGCACAAAGCAAGCAGGCTAAAGCAGGGCTGGTGGACTTGCCCGTTGGAATGCCAAATCTCCGCCTCAATAGTCGTCCCTTGGCTTATTAAGTATTGTCCAGATCAAATGAGACATACCGAAAAATTAGAGAAAAAGAAACCATAATCCAACCATCCTCACCTTTCCCGTTTGTCAACTTTGCCAACTTCCTATGCTTACGAACCATAACACCGGAAAATCGTCCATATCCCAATAGTTTGTAACCCATCTCATCGCTCGCAGAATCGAGTCATGCGGAAGATTCGAAAACATCTCCTTGATGTCGAAAGAGGCACTGAGAATGGTTTCTTCTTGGACTTGTTGTCGGTTCATCTTGCAAAGGCCAGTCATCAAGTCGTCCATACAGAGTAAGTTGAAATGCAGTTTGGCAGGAAGTTTCCACAACATCTCATTGATTACATAAGCAATGCGTCTTCCACTGAGAGCAGAGCCTTTAGGATAGGATGAACAAATCGGGCGCCATCTACCAACATCCTCGTGTTTAGGAAAGCAATATGCTTCACCGATCTTTGCATCAGGATTCCAGTTCCCGATTGTGTTAAACCCATTATGTACAAAATTAGCCTTCACGCCACTAATCACCTTTTCTTTGGATTTATCATCAAGCAGGAAAGATGGATTATCAAGAAACAACTTCTTCATACCTTGCGAGTAAACGACCGGGCAGCAAGCAGAAGTGTCACCAATATTATGATCGATAGGAGAACATACCAACTTATCCAAGCTTCGCTTCAGATCACCAAGCTCTTCAACAGATTTCCAAGCGGGATTAGACTAACACAATTGCCTCAAGAGTAACCGAGGCAAGCGAAGGTAGGCTCAAGCTAGCGCTTTGCACAACTATAGAGCGTAATGGTCAAAGCCCGCCTGACTGTGAGACCTATAAGTCGAACAGAGACGGAAGTCGGCCATAGCGATCCGGGGGGGCCGTGTGGAAGGGTTCTCGCTCAACGGATTAAAGGTCAAGAAACTCAGAGGAGAAAGTAAAACAACCCAGTAAGTCAGAATAAGAAAGGCAACCAGTATCAAAAACACAGGAAGAATTGTGTGATTTAAAAGAATCTACAATCTGCTTTTTCACGAAAGAGAGAGGGTTATTTACCGAAGATCGAAGCACGTTACGAGAATTACGGATCCAAAAATGGAAAAAATCGGTCTCCCCAAAGCGAAAAGAAACATGTTGATCAACTAGGGGAAGACGATCATCTGTTGTGCTGCAAGTACACTGAATTCCCTCTTCTTTGGAAATCGCTCGAAAGTTATGAAGTGCGTCACCTACCGTTCGGTTCTTACACCAGACCACACGCATACGGCGGATCATCATCCGCTTCCATTCCTCATGAATAGTTAAGGAGTCTATCAATCGACTGCAGACTCTTCTAATCTCGTTTTTGCACAACCGATGGTCATACGTAATCATAATCACAAACCCTCGTCTAATCGGTACCCTCAATCTGCTCCGTGATCTCTTCTCTTGGAAAGCACGAATACCACAATAAGCCTGAATCAGCGCATCGAGTCTCCACGTTGACAACTTCTTACGACAACGTGGTTCGCTCAATAACTGCACCAAGAAAGGTTTGAACGCCATATATTTTTGATAGAATGGCACAATTGAAGAGAGTAAAAAAAAAAAAACACTTCTAAGATGCCCCACATACGACAGAACAGGAGACAATCTTATGATCTACACTGTAATTCAGAATCCGCAATAAGTTGGTCGACACAATACCTACAAAGAATGAAACTGTAGCAGAGATGAAGGTTCAGGGGGAGACAGACCGAAATGGAAAGGAGTCAATACTTCATCCTTCTTCTTCCTCCTCAACCGCTCTCGTTTTCCCGGACGTCTACGTCTCGTATTTCTCTTTCTGTCCTTAGTATTAAGGGATGCACTAAACAACTTAATAAAGAAATTTTCGGTTGCTAAACGATCTTCCTCTGAGCAGAAACAGATTGGAATAATAGCAAAATGCGCAATACCAAATCTTATCGTCCACCTATACAACTGCTTATTATGACTTCCTTTGTCAATAACAAAATCACTGAGATGTAAACGTGTTCCCTCTATCTGGCATCAATACAACGGCTAGAGCTACCGACATCCATATGACGACACCAGGGTGAAACAAGTGCGTAAACCACAGGGCCATGATTTCCAAAATCTCTATCGACTCCTTTCCACCAACCACAAATATGTCCAGCAATTTTTGCGGCCCATGCAATGCAACCAGACTCGAGGAAGAACCTACGAAGTAGTGGCATCTCCCTCGGCTGGCGTTTCCTTGTCAAAGGATCCAACACCAGAATCATAAGATACCCCCTGGACTGCCTTACCGTCATCAGGAAAGACCATCTTTACCCGTTGGTTGATAATATCCTCCACTGACCGCTTGATAGTGATGTACTTCAAACCTTCCTCTGCGCAGATTTCGATAATCTCATCCTTCTTCCGATTACTCAAATCCTACTGTTGCTCTTTGGCAAATTTCATCTTCTCCATCGCTCGTGCTGAGGCAGGTTCAATAACTGTCTTCTACTTCCCTTGACCGGTTGAGGCCATCTTATCCATCCATTGTCTTAGATTGGTGCATGGTACACGCTGAACCGCTTCCAGATCAGCAATAGCGGCTCGAAGCCGCTCATTCTCCAACTCTTTCTCACGACGTGCATTTGCCTCCTCTTCCATCGTAGCTCGCAGTTTTTCGTTCTCCTGCTCCTTCTCCCTTCTTGCGTTAAAGTCGGCTATACACAAGTTCTTTAGGGCCTCCACCTCCAAATTATGTGTATGCACCATGCTCGTTGGTTCAGGAGTCGACCTTGTTCGTTTACGGACAGCAGTGGTTGGGGTAACATCAGCACATGCTGCACATCCTCGTTTACTTCCTGGTCTCAACGCTTTCTTCTCCTGAGTTTCCACTTCATGCAACGCCTCATCCCTCATTGTTCTCATAAGTGCCATCTTGTTCTCGAGAGTTTCCAATCTCTTCTGTGTAGCAATAGATTCTTCAAGCCTTCTCTTCAGTGCTTCTTGCTCACGTAACAGTTGCCTGATGAGCTCCTCCCCTTCGAAGGTAGCCTCGGTTGTTGAGGTGGAAGTCACCGCACTATTTGCAATCAACTTAAGTCGATCAATCTCCTTCTTCAGACCTTCGATTTCTCCCTTGCTCGTAGGTTCACCTTTCCTTTTGTCCATCTTCTCACAAACCTTCTCCCATTTCTTGTTCATATCCTCCATCATCAGCCGATGCATATCCTCTCTTTCCGTACGGTCAAGTTTGCGTCGTCCATGAACACCTGAATATTTTGTATCTGTGCAACTGAGCTGCAAGATCGACCATGCAGTAGCTTAGGAAGCGATCTAGCAGCGTCGTCGGTGGCTTTCGGGTTGTTGATGAACATTTTTTCGATATTTTTCGATAATTTTTTATATTTTACAATTTGGTTTTTGTATTTATTTCTTACAGTGGTAGGAGGTGGGTCGACTTCACATCGAGCAGCCTTTTGGTTGGCCATAGCCATGTTCTACTCTTTCTTTCACTACGGGATGGCGTGCTTGGGTCGGTGCCCTTTTCTAAGTTAAGGGATTCGCTGGCCGTTGTTCGATCGACAGACGGGTTTTGGGCTGGCAGTGACGACGAATCGAGCAAAGGTTGGATGGTGTCATCGTAGCATACGCAGGGCTTAGTATTGGGTTGACGTTGTTGGCGGCATCGGAGGTGAAGTGGTGTGGTAAGGCGCGGTGTCCCAACCCTCCTCCGTGTACCAAGTCCCCGCTTGGTACAGTCCCTCGCGTCGGTGCCTCGGTCTGTAGATGTGTCTTGGGTTTTCGTTGCTGTTAGTGCCCAGGCTGTGCTTCGGCTTGGACCAGTCCTGGTGGCTGTGCCCTTGACAAAAGGGGGTGCGCCACA